GAAGAGGCGCCGGCCTTCTGAGAGGCCCCATGAGAGGCCTGCAAGGTAGGCTATTATTTTTTTCAAAGATGGAGAGAGGAAACGAGCAGGGCTTCAAGGCGCCCAACCGCCTCTCTCCGCCGGCTCAGGGAGGATTGTAACATTCACGTATGCAGCTATCGCGAGAACTTGGTGGTGGGAGTGCATGGGAACCGCCTATCGCATTTGCTTTTGCTCTCAAACATCGCGAGAAGAATGCCTAATCACACTGCGCATTCCTTCAGGAAGAGGAGGGGGGCAATAGGGCACGTGATGCCTCCAGACGTCTCTTTCTGGCTCCGCCCACTCTGGGTTTCCCTCAAGAGGGTGGGGCTTGGCCAGAGTCCGCCATAGACGATGCAGCTGTGGACAAGTCTGCATAAGGTGTAGACCAGTGTTTCTCAACCTGGGGGGGGGGGGGGGCACAAGGGGGGTGTCAGAAGGGTCACCAAAGACCATCAGGAAACACAGTATTTTCTGTTGGTCATGTGGGTTCTGTATGGGAAGGTTGGCCCAGTTCTATTATTGGGTTCAGAATGCTCTTTGATTGTAGGTGAACTATAAATCCCAGCTAGTACAACTCCCAAATGTCAAGGTCTATTTTCCCCAAACTCCACCAGAGTTTACATTTGGACATATTGAGTATTTGTGCCAAGTTTGGTCCAGATCCATCATTGTTTGAGTCCACAGTGCTCTCTCGATGTAGGTGAACTACAACTCCAAAATTCAAGGTCAATGTCCACCGAACCCTTCCAGTATGTTCTGTTGGTCATGGGAGTTCTGTGTGCCAAGTTTGGTTCAAGTCCATCGTTAGTGGAGTTCAGAATGCTCTTTTATTGCAGGGGAACTATAAATCCCAGCAAGTCTAACTCCCAAATTTATTTATTTATTTCTTTACTTTACTTTACTTATATACCGCTGTTCTCAGCCCGAAGGCGACTCACAGCGGTTCACAACAAATACGAACAGCAAAAATTCAGTGCTACAGTATAGAAACAGTTAACAACCTAACACATTACACAATTAATAAACAGTTACTACAATACCCATTCACTGTCGTCTCGTCATCAAAAACATGTTCCAGATTCGTCATCCATTGTTCCATTCCAGTGTTCATTAACCAATCATTGCACTAATTATTCGAACGCCTGCTCAAACAGCCAGGTCTTCACTTTTTTGCGGAATACCATTAGAGATGGTGCTAGTCTAATGTCTGTAGGTAGGGCGTTCCACAGCCGAGGAGCCACCACCGAGAAGGCCCTATCTCTCGTCCCCGCCAGCCGAGTTTGAGAAGCAGGCGGGATCAAGAGCAGGGTCTCCCTGGAAGATCTTATATACGATAGACGATAGATGGTGCAGCTGTGGACAAGTCGCACAGGTTCGCAGCTTGGGAGTGATCCTGGACTCATCGCTGAGCCTGGAACCCCAGGTTTCGGCGGTGACCAGGGGAGCATTTGCACAGCTAAAGCTTGTGCGCCAGCTGCGCCCGTACTTTGGAAAGTCTGACTTGGCCACAGTAGTCCCACTCTGGTTACATCCCGTTTAGACTACTGCAACGCTCTCTACGTGGGGTTGCCTTTGAAGACGGCTCGGAAGCTCCAATTAGTCCAACGCTCGGCAGCCATGATGTTAACAGGAGCGGAGCGCAGGGAGCATACAACCCCCTGTTGCGCCAACTCCACTGGCTACCAATTTGCTACCGGGCTCAATTCAAAGTGCTGGTGTTGGCCTTTAAAGCCCTAAACGGTTCCGGCCCAAGCTACCTATCCAACCGCATCTCTGCCTATGAACCCACCAGGACTTTGAGATCTTCCGGGGAGGCCCTGCTCTCGATCCGGCCTGCTTCTCAAGCACGTCTGGCGGGGACGAGAGATAGGGCCTTCTCGGTGGTGGCTCCTCGGCTGTGGAACACCCTTCCCGTGGACATTAGACTGGCTCCTTCCCTGATGATATTCCGCAGGAAATTAAAGACGTGGTTGGGGTTGAAAATTTTGGGAGGGGTTGAAAATTTGGGGGGGTTGAAAATTTTGGGGAGGGGGGGTTGAAACCTGCCTCCTAGCTCACGCTGAAGCAAAGAGCACAGCAGGGGGCAGAGCAGCCTTCAATAGCCTGCAGCTCTGCCCCTGTCAACCACCTCCACCAAGTCTGGCCTCCTTAATGAGAGCATTCAATACACACACACACACAACTTGGTTGCTTCACTACATCGGCTATTACTGCAAGTAATGACAGTGTGAATAAATTGTCAATATTTGTTCATAGACTTAGCATGGGGATTTTGTTAACCAGTTAAAATTCATGAGTAAACCAGACTTTTAAAAAAAATCTGAAACATTTCGGGGGGGGGGGGTTGAACCCCTAAAACCACCCCCTCGCTACAGGCCTGAGCACCATCTCTAATGGTATTCCGCAAAAAAGTGAAGACCTGGCTGTTTGAGCAGGCGTTCGAATAATGAGTGCAATGCTTGGTTAATGAACATTGGAATGGATCAATGGATGACGAATTTGGATCATGTTTTTGATGATGGGACGATGGCGAATGGCTATTGTAGTAATTGTTAATTGTTTATTGTTTATTAATTGTGCAATGTGTTAAGTTGATAACTGTTTTTATACTGTAATATTGAATTCTGCTGTCTCTTATTGCTGTGAACCGCTGTGAGTCGCCTTCGGGCTGAGAACAGCGATATATAAGTAAGGTAAATAAATAAGTCTACATAAGGTACACCAAACACGAATCAAGGAACATGGAAGGCACTGCAGAGTAATTCAGCAAGAGAAGTCAGCCATAGCAGAGCACCTGATGGACCAATTTGGGCATTTCATTTATTTATCGTGTCAGGGACAGACCAAACAGTTGCATTGCATTGTTTAACCAAACAAATAAAACACAAAGTTTGCAAGCTTGGTAGTTGATTAAATGTCCTTTGACCAGTATCTGGCCACTTGGAGTGCCTCTGGTGTTTCCGCAAGAAGGTCCTCCATTGTGCATGTGGCAGGGCTCAGGGTGCATTGCAGCAGGTGGTCTGTAGTTTGCTCTTCTCCACACTCGCATGTTGTGGATGCCACTTTGTAGCCCCATTTCTTAAGGTTGGCTCTGCATTTCGTGGTGCCAAGTCGCCCAGTTTTCTGTGTGCCCAGGGGGGAGTCTCTCATTTGGTATCAGCCATTGATTGAGGTTCTGGGTTTGAGCCTGCCACTTTTGGACTCTCGCTTGCTGAGGTGTTCCAGAGAGTGTCTCTGTAGATTAAATCTACATAATTAAATATAATGATATGATGATGATGATAATGTAAATATCTGGAGCCCCTGGTGGCGCAGTGGGTTAAACCCCTGTGCTAGCAGGACTGAAGACCAACAGGTCGCAGGTTCGAATCCGGTGAGAGGCAGATGAGCTCCCTCTATCAACTCCAGCTCCTCATGCGGGGACATGAGAGAAGCCTCCCACAAGGATGATAAAAACATCAAATCATCCGGGCGTCCCCTGGGCAACGTCCTTGCAGACGGCCAATTCTCTCACACCAGAAGCGACTTGCAGTTTTTCAAGTCGCTCCTGACACGACAAAAAAAAGGAGGGCTCAGGTTGCATTGCAGCAGATGGTCTGCAGTTCGCTCTTCTCCACACTCACATGTCATGGGTTCCACTTTGGAGCCCCATTTCTTAAGGTTGGCTCTGCATCTCGTGTTGCCAGAGCACAGTCTGTTCAGTGCCTTCCAAGTCACCTAGTTTTCTGTGTGCCCAGGGGGGAGTCTCTCATTTGGTATCAGCCATTGATTCTGGGTTTGAGCCTGCCACTTTTGGACTCTCGCTTGCTGAGGTGTTCCAGCGAGTGTCTCTGTAGATCTTAGAAAACTATTTATTGACTTAAGTCATTGGCATGCTGGCAGATACCCAAACAGGAGATGAGCTGGAGATGTCACTGCCTTGGTCCTTTCACTGTTGGTTGCTACTTCCTGGTGGATGTCAGGTGGTGCAATACCGGCTAAGCAGTGTAATTTCTCCAGTGGTGTAGGGCACAGACACCCCGTGATGATGCGGCATGTCTCATTAAGACCCACATCTCCTGTTTTAGTGTGGTGAGATGTGTTCCACACTGGGCATGCATACTCAGCAGCAGAGTAGCAAAGCACAAAGGCTTCACTGTATCTGGTTGTGATCCCCAGGTTGTGCCATTACCACTGAAGCAGGGAGCTTTGGGATGGTTGAACAGAAGCTCTCCCAAGCTCTAGGTGCTCTTACTGCCTATTACAGGGAAAACCAGCTGATCCCTAACCTATCTAAAACACAGACATGTGCCTTTCACCTTAAGAACAGACAAGCATCCCGAGCTCTGAGGATTACCTGGGAAGGAATCCCACTGGAGCATTGCAGCGCACCCAAATACCTGGGAGTCACTCTGGACCGTGCTCTGACCTATAAGAAGCACTGCCTGAACATCAAGCAAAAAGTGGGCGCTAGGAACAATATCATACGAAAGCTGACTGGCACAACCTGGGGATCACAACCAAACACAGTGAAAACATCTGCCCTTGCACTTTGCTACTCTGCTGCTGAGTACGCATGCCCAGTGTGGAACACATCTCATCACGCTAAAACAGTGGATGTGGCTCTTAATGAGACATGCCGCATTATCACGGGGTGTCTGCGCCTTACACCACTGGAGAAATTACAGTGTTTAGCCGGGACTGCACAACCTGACATCCACCAGTAAAAAATGAACAGGAATCTCCTTCACCAGAAGTCTGGGTCGTCGCTCTTTCAGTTTCCTAGCTCTAGGTCCAATAGGTAGCGCTTGCTCCGTGGGAGCGGGGGGCGGGGCCCCAGAACGGCGAGGGTGCTGATTGGCTGATTGAGGGTGCTGATTCAGCGCAGGCGCGAGGATCCCCCGCCCCTGCCCTTCGCTTCCTCTTCCGGGGAAAGAGGAAGCTTTTGAAGGACCGAGGAACGGCTTTCCCATAAAAGAAACGGACGACAGTAAGGAATTCAGTCTAATTCAGAAACGTGTTCTTCTTGGCTGCTGTCTTTTCAGCCTTAAGTATGAGCCGTGAACATCAGTAAATGATACAGCTTTCGGTCAAGAGAGCAAAACGGGGTATGAACATATATGATGAGGATAGTCACAATGGAGCTTGGTATTGTAAGACAAACAGTAGTTGTTGCCATAAATGCTTGTTTGTTTGCATGGTGTCTTCACATCATGGGAACTTGAGAGCAAGGGAAAGCAACTAGGCTTCTTGAATCTTATTATTCCCTTATCCCCAATTATTTGTCTTTTTTTTTTTTTTGGTCGTGTCAGGAGCGACTTGAGAAACTGCAAGTCGCTTCTGGTGTGAGAGAATTGGCCGTCTGCAAGGACGTTGCCCAGGGGACGGCTTGGTGAATTGATGTATAATAATGAAACATTATTTGTCATAATTTGCATGTTATGATAGCGTTACAGCATTAGACAAAACCGTTTTCATCATAGAATCATATAATCAAAGAGTTGGAAGAGACCTCATGGGCCATCCACTCCAACCCCATTCTGCCAAGAAGCAGGAATATTGCATTCAAGCACCCTTGACAGATGGCCATCCAGCCTCTGTTTAAAGACTTCCAAAGAATGAGCCTCCACCACACTCCAAAGCAGAGAGTTCCACTGCTAAATGGCTCTCACAGTCAGGAAGTTCTTCCTCATGTTCAGATGGAATCTCCTCTCTTGTAGTTTGAAGCCATTGTTCCGCGTCCTAGTCTCCAGGGAAGCAGAAAACAAGCTTGCTCCCTCCTCCCTGTGGGTTCCTCTCACATATTTATACATGGCTATCATATCTCCTCTCAGCCTTCTCTTCTTCAGGCTAAACATGCCCAGCTCCTTAAGCCGCTCCTCATAGGGGTTGTTCTCCAGACCCTTGATCATTTTAGTCGCCCTCCTCTGGACACATTCCAGCTTGTCAATATCTCTCTTGAATTGTGGTGCCCAGAATTGGACACAATATTCCAGATGTGGTCTAACCAAAGCAGAATAGAGGGGTAACATTACTTCCCTGGACCTAGACACTATGCTCCTATTGATGCAGACCAAAATCCCATTGGCTTTTTTTGCCGCCACATCACATTGTTGGCTCATGTTTAACTTGTTGTCCACGAGGGCTCCAAGATCTTTTTCACACGTACTGCTCTCGAGCAAAGTCATCCTGAAACAACCGATGCTCAAATGGTCTGCAAAATTGCTAAACCTGACATATAGAAAGAGAAGTGCTCTGGTGTCCTCTCTCTCTCTGTCCAGGGTAGCGTAGAAAAAAAAGAGAGATGATCAGAAGGAGTTGTACTGTAGTTTGTAATCTTATAGCCACTTATAGAAGTAAACTCTACTAAGCTCGATGGGTTTTTGCTTTTAGCTGCATATATATGGGATTTCACTGTTGCAGGTTAATTGGCTGTTGGGAAATGGGTTACCTACTCATCCAGATAAAATCCATGAATTATTTTGCAAACAAAGTATACAGTAAATTGAGAGTGGACTGCATCCTATTAATTTCAGAATTTATAAGATAAATATTTAGGAATTTATTATCTAGTTTGAGGTATTGTATTTTGGTATTTTGGTAACAGTTGTCTCTGCCTAATGCTTTAACTCTGTCTAAAATACTACATGTCGGTTTATATAAAGACATCTTGTACATCTAATCTAAATGCCTTGCTCATCTTTTCCAAGTTGTGAGATTTTCTTTCTCTTTCAGTGATGTAGTTTTAATCTGCATAACATTTTTTCTAACTCTCGTATCCATTTGTTGTAGAAAGAAAATGAAACTCTTTTCAGAATCGCACAAAACAGCTTTTGTAGTTGACCACTGCCCCTATATGGCAGAATCTTGCAGACAGCATGTTGAGTTTGATATGTTAATAAAGAATCGGACCCAAGGAATCATACCTCTTGCTCCTATATCAAGATCACTATGGACCTGTTCAGTGGAATCATCAATGGAATACTGTAGAATAATGTATGATATATTTCCTTTTAAAAAACTAGTAAGTGACTGTTACTTGTCTTTTGAAGTTAAAGGATTCTGTGGATTCATCAATATTTGTATCCTCAATTCAGAGGGACTTTAATAGCTCTTTTTAGGTTCTTAATAATGTTATATATTTTTCCTGAACACACAAAATGGCTTTTAAGCAGTGCATGTTGTCACAATATGAAGGCTTTAAAACTATGTTTTATAAACTTTCAGGTAAACTTCATTGTAAGTGACTCTGGAGCAAATGTCTTAAACTCTTGGAACCAAGAAGATCAGAACCTGCAGGAGGTATAATTAAGTAATAAATAATAATAATAATAATTAAAAAAAACTTTATTTATATTCCGCTCTATCTCCCCAAAGTTACTCAAGGCGGATTCCAAACACAAAAGGCAAACATTCAATGCCTGAATACAACAACAATACATCCATGCTAACAAAATTTATACTACCCAACATATAAATACGAATTATAACTTAACAAACTAAAATTAAATAAAAAGTACAGCTTGTTATAACATGCATAAGACAAAACATCCGACTTCTGAGGCTTTTAAAATTCTTAATAAAGTGAAGAATCATAAGGTTAGATCCAGATTAAGGTAGTTTAAATTGAATGTCAGACAAGTCAGTTTCTGTCCTTGACTACAATAAATGACCAACTCGTATGTTGCTAATAGAAATAATGTATTTCCAAAATTCTGCCAGTTTGTGCTGACCAGGGGTGGCGATGAAAAGCGTTAACAAGAAAAAAAGAACTGTCAATCTGCATATCATCTAGAAGCTTACGATCTAGTAGGTGCAGAGCTGTCTCTGGAATGTCCCATTTAGGAATCTAGTGCTGAAAGAAGTTCAGCTAGATTTAGGCATGTGGACTTTTCCACAAGTATGTTAGGGTAGTGCTTCTCTACTTTTGATACCACATACAGTATGTGTTGAATTTCAAAACTCTAAACCCGAGCCAGCATGGTGAAAATTCTGTTAGTCTGAGATTTGAAATCTGACTTTGAAACATCAAGACCAAACGCTGAGAATTAGTATACTACACACTACAGCGAATGAGCTGTATCTTGTCTGGAGAATGCCAGTTTGCTTATATGTTTGCAGTATAACATTGTAGGGAAAACACTGAACTGATTTTTTGGTGTTTGCATTTTCATGGAATAAGTAATCAAAAGTTTCCAGTGCTTTTTTTAATATTGGAAAAGTAGTTGTAGGATCTAAGTTTGCAATTTCCCAAGAAGACAATCTTCTATTTTCTTATGCAGTTAATGGCAGCTTTAGCAGCTGTTGGACCTCCGAATCCTCGTGCAGATCCTGAATGCTGCAGCATACTTCATGGCTTAGTAGCAGCAGTAGAAGCACTCTGTAAAATAACAGAATACCAACATGAGGCTCGAACCTTGCTAGTGGAGAATGCTGACCGGGTTGGAAACAGAGGACGGATAATCTGCATTACTAATGCAAAGAGGTTTGTGTTGTTCATATTGCTAATACACCCTTTTTTGTAGGTGAGTGAAACCTTATGAATTCTCATTATGCCTGCAGGATTTCATGTTCATGCTGTGTTTTGGGCGAGCTGACCCAATTCTGACCTATTGTTAAAGAATTGTGATGTAATGGATAAATGTGATAGTTAAATGTTTTTGTTGTAAAAACAGTGAATGCACACATGTTGAAGTCTTCCCTCATGCCTGTCTGAATAGACTTACCCAATATATTTTCTAAAATGAGTTCTTTCCTGCTTTTTTCCCCAGTGATAGCCATGTCCGCATGCTTGAGGAGTTTGTCCAGGAAACAATACACGAGCATAATAAACTAGCAGCTAATTCAGACCAGTAAGTGTGCAAATCAGTAACACTCTGATTATTTCTTTGTGCCAAAAGCCATACTTTTTTTTTGTAATGAAACCTTATTTACAATATAAAAACTAGATGTGCAAGAATATTTTGGAGGTGAAAGTTTGTGTGTACCAGGCCTGCTGCTCAGTGGATGCAATGGTCTTAGTTTTGGTATCTCCTCTCCAGATACGTTGGGGAACGATTTCTGAACAAAAAAACCCTGGAGATCTGCTGCCAGTCAGTGAAGACTAGAGTAGACTATTTTTGCAGATCTAGGGACTACATGTGCCTTCTACCAGATTTGGTACAACTGCATCTTCCTTTCCTCCAATTATTAAAAAAGACCAATTCATATATACTTAGGAATGCTGTGTGTGTGTGTAGATATGCCTCATTTTCCACTTTAGGCCTGCTTTTCAACCTTCAGTTTTAATTTTATAAAAAGCTCTTCTGCTTAAAACAGTCTATTTGTAGAAAGAATTCTCCTTTTCCTTCTTAACAGTGATCTAAGGATGTGAACTCCACTTTGTGTGCTGTGGTTGCAACGGCCCTAAGCTACGTAATTTGACACCTAAAGCAGCTTTCAATTTAGTTTTAAAATGGCTTAGATAGTGTTTGCATTTACTTATATGCTTATTTTGAGGTCTCATCACCTAAAGGAGGCAATTGTGAGGGTTATATTAAAAACAACAACCCTGTACCCCTCCATAACGGACAACTATTGGCCAGTGTCCAACCTTTACTTTTTAAGCAGGTATTGGAGCGTGTGGTGATCCTCCAACTACAGGAGTTTCTGGGTGAAACTATTTATCTCTAGATCCATTTCAGTCTGGTTTCAGGCATAGTTATGGAACAGAGACAGCTTTGGTCAACTTGGTGGATGACCCATGCAGAGAACTGGACAGGGGGAGTGTGCCCCTGTGGGTTCTCCTGGATCTCTCAGTGGCTTTTGATACTATGGACCATGGTATCCTTCTGGGCCGTCTCTCTGGGATAGGACTTGGAGATACTGTTTTACAATAGCTCTGTTCCTTCTTAGAAGGCCCTATCCAGAATATGGTGCTGGAGGACTCCTGTTTGAACTCCTGGCCATTCACCTTTGTGGTTCCTCGTGGTTCTTTTTTTCTCCCTGTACGGTTTCACAAATACACGAAACTGCTGGGAGAGGTCATCCGGAGTTTTGGAGTATGGTGCCACTAAATGCAGATGACTCCCTACTCTATTACTCTTTTCCACTTAAAGCCAAAGAGACTCCTGACTGTAAACCAGTGTCTGTCATCAATAATGGACTGGATGAGGATAGACAAATTTGAATTTAACCCAGACAAGACAGAGGTTCTCCTGGCCAGTTGGAAGGCAGATAGGGATTTGGCCATCACTGGATGGGGTTACATTCCCCCTGATCCTGGAGGACCAGCTTTCTGCAGTAGTTAGGTGGGCTTTTGGACAATAAAAACTTGTGTTCCTTAAGACGCCAGAACTGAACGTGGTGAAACATGCCTTAGTAACATCCTATTTGGTGTAACAGACTCAATGTGGTTATATTAAAAACCACATTGATTCTGTTACACCAAGCGGTGTTCAGAAACTTCAGGTGGCCCAATTATTATTATGTTTATTTATATTCCACTTTTTCTCTCCAAAAAGAGACTCAAAGGACTGTGGCCAGGTTGCTAACTGGGGCTGGCTAAAAGGAGCAGACCCCCCCCCCCCCCCCCTGTTCCAACAGCTCTACTAACTGCCAGTTTGTTTCTGGTCACAATTCAAAGTGCTGGTTTTGACCCTATATGATTCGGGTCCAGGATATTTGGCTATGTGAACCTGCCTGGGCCCTGAGATCCTCAGGAGAAGCCCTCTTGGTCCCATCTCCATCACAGGCTTGGTTGGTGGGAACGAGAGAGCGGGTCTTCTATCTCAGTGGCTGCATCTCTGGAACTCCCTGCCCAGGGAAGCCAGAATAGCCCCTTCCCTGCTGTCCTTCCAGCAGCAGGCTAAAACCTTTTCATTCAGGAAGACTTTTAAAGAAGGAGGTTTTTAAGAACCAGTCAGGGTGTGCTGTGGTTTTAGCTATTAATAGGTTTTTAATTAAGGGTTTTAACCATAATTTTTTTAACACTGTTTATGTTTATTCCATTGTAATGTTTCTCTATTTTAAGGTTTTCATTGTATTACTGTATATTGGTTTATTGTAAGCTGCTTTGAGTCTCTTTTTTAGAAAAAAAAATGGGATCATGATTATAATAATATTTTTGATCAGTTTTGCTCAGGTAAGTAAGATGATTTAGTCCTTTGTTGAGGGATGATAACCAAATGTTATTATCTGATGTTTTCTAGTAAAGAACGTCTGTGAGGACATGTATTAATAATACATGTCAAACATTACTTATTAGATATGCTAAGTATTTTCTAACAGAATATTTTAATTCTCTTAGTCTTATGCAGATCCAGAAATGTGAACTGGTCTTAATCCATACTTATCCTTCTGGTGAGGAAAGCCTTGTGTCAGATCATCTTAAAAAAGAGGTAAGCCTAATGAATTACTGTGAATCCAAATATCAGCAGATCTTTTCTTTAGAATTTTATTTTAATGTTTATCCCACACATGTGCAAGGAAAGTCTTTGCTACTAATAGAAAACTATAGTTGCTATAGTGGGAGAATAAATTACGCCTCACCCCCTACCAACCCCAGAGATCCCTCTGTTCTGAGGACCAAGATCTATTGGAAATTCCCAGTGTCAAGACCTTGCGTCAAACAGTAACCAGACGCAGAGCCTTTACAGCAGTGGCACCATCACTCTGGAATACTCTGCCACCTGAAGTCCATGCCTTGCGGGACTTATCAGCTTTCCGCAGGGCATGTAAGACAGACCTGTTTCGACAGGCCTTTGATTGTTGATATTGCTGTTTTTAAATTATTTTTAAATTGTGTTAGATTTTAGCCATTCTTCTAAGCCGCTCCGAGCCCCAGGGGAGCAGCGGCATATACGTTCGAATAATAAAAAATAAATAAAATAATACTCTTGTATGAGTTGACCTCATGTGTATTCCAGGTCAAAATGACCAGAAGTAGGACACTGACGGAAAGAGTAAAGGGAGCTGGTGCTTTTTTTTAGACTTTCTCGAGACAGACTAAGTTTTGCCTTTTTTCACTCTACTCAGAAGGGGGTGTTCTTTTTTTATATTAGAGTTAAGGTGCAGTAGTCATGCTGACCCATAGATAAGTCAACACAGTTTTTGGTTGATTTTTTTATATATAGGGTAAATTTTCATCATTATATAGGGTACTTAGTTCTAGAATTACTTAAACAGACTGGTTATCGCTATTTATTTATTTACGATTTTTTACCCCACCTTTCTCCGCAGTGGATCCAAGGTGGCTTACATATCAAAAACATATAATACAAAAGTGAAAAACATACTTGAACTCACATGTTCTATATAAGCGATTAACCCCTTTTCCGTATACCCTTATAATGAAGTGGGGCTAATCAACCTAGCCTTGTTATAGTGTTATATCAGAAAGTCTTTTTGGGCTGAAGAATCTGGCTGGTCTCTGCCCTTGTCAAAGCCCTGAGCAAAGGGGGTCCATGTGAGTTTGTTCTGGAAGGGAGAATGGGTGCAACAGAAACACTGCCTGGAAATGGAGAGGAGATTCCATCTGAACATTAGGAAGAACTTCCTGACTGTGAGAGCCGTTCAGCAGTGGAACTCTCTGCCCCGGAGTGTGGTGGAGGCTCCTTCTTTGGAAGCTTTTAAGCAGAGGCTGGATGGCCATCTGTCAGGGGTGATTTGAATGCAGTATTCCTGCTTCTTGGCAGGGGGTTGGACTGGATGGCCCATGAGGTCTCTTCCAACTCTTTGATTCTATGATTCTATGAAATTCTGACCAAATTTTCAAAGGCTCAAATCTAAACATAATACTTATTTATATATTAAATAAATTGTGTATGTGTATATATATGTGTATATGTGTTAAATATAATATCATATATCTAATACTTATTCTATCACTTATTCTATCATATAAATATCTAATATTTATATTTACTATAATAAATAAGTTGTAAGCTGGATACAAAGTGTGTTTTTTAGACTCGTGACTGTTTTATTGCTTTTAAAATTATGTTATTTTTTCCCCGTATTTGCTACTACTGAGAATTCTGTGTGTGTGCATGTGTGTGTGTTTGTCTTTTTTTTAAAAAGCTCTCTCCTATCTTAACCAGTGAAGTTCATAGTGTTCGGGCTGGACGGCATCTGGCCACCAGACTGAATGTTTTAGTACAGCAGCATTTTGATCTGGCTTCAACCACTATAACTAACATCCCAATGAAGGTAAGCTGTGTACACAGTTGTGCGCCAAAGTAGCCGCACCGTTTCTTTTCAATTTGCTTAATGGTTTGAGTATTTATTTTAATGGAATTTTTACATTTGTTTTTTTTCTCTCCATATCACATTTTTTCTGTTTTTTATTAGCCCACATTCAATGTCTGTGACCAGGTTAGTAAATTTTATGAAGGAGAAAAAAGGATCACGGAACAAATGGCCCTGTTGGCCTTTTTTAATTCATTCAATTATGAAAAGAGTATTTATTTCCCTTTGTTTTATGTAAATGTATCCTAGTACACTTCAAATTACTTTGTCTGTGATTCTTTTGTTTTTTATACATGTCTTAGAAATTTCTGCCCCTTGTGCATTTTAGTGGCATAGCGAGCCTTCCATTCCTCTGTGTCATCCACCCAACATAAAGGTGTTTGTAACAAGGAGAAACTAGCGGGAGCAAAAAATAAAAGAGATTTTCCCACCTGGCATAGTCTTATTTCAAATAGGAGAGTAGGAGCAAATATATATTTATTTGATGAGAGACTAAAGTGTGACTTTTAAAACATGCATAAGCTTAACGTTTTTCCAGACAATATTTATAGAACAGTCCTACACATGTTTACTCAGAAGTAGAACTCAGTTGTATTTTAGTGGGACTAACTCCTTAATAAATGTATGTAGAATTGCAGCTGGGGTGGGGTGTTCAGGTCATTTTATTAGTCATCTTCGTCCCTGCATTGGCCATCAGAGAAACCAGATATTGTCATTAAATACATTTAATTTTACACTGTAATTGGGCAGTAGTACAAAAGAACATTTGTATTATATTTATATATTTTTTTAAAAAGCAAAGGAATGCACAAAAGGAAAAAGATGTTACAATACTAATAGCTAGTGTTCTTTGTTGAACATTAATTGTACTGCCTGGATTATTTAAGCAAATGCAGCAATTAGGTCCTTATGTGGTTGATGTGTCCTGGCCACTTGAATTGGATCATCATGTACAATGTTTTATGTTTGCAAATACCTTGTTTGCAATTTACTGACCTGTGTGCTGCTGGTGTGCTCTTTCTTCTTGCCTTTTGTTCTTTCTAGTAATAGTCTGTATGTTGGGTTCCCTGTCTATTATTCATAAAAACTAAGTCCCATGGCGATTATTTTGCTAATTTGCTGTACATGGTATTTTCTAGTTTGCCTCAGCTGTTTAAATATGCTGTTTCCTTTTGCTTTTACCCTTATGCATGCAGTTTGAACCACAGTAGCCACTAGTCTTCAGCTGTGGAAGCCAGATAAGGCTCTGTGTGACTTCTCTTGTTAACCTGAAGTGAAAGAAGAAACTTCCATAAAATGGAAAAAAATGGCTGCACTTGCTGATGGTGGTGTTATTACATAATTGCTATGGGTTACTTAGGAAAGCAAAGAGATTCCCTATTGGAAAACATATCTCTGGATGGAAGTTGGTGCTGGAACTATTTTTATATTGCATCCCTATTTGGTTTCTTATGATATAATTGGAGAGGGCAAGTCTATAAAATGAATTTACAACTTGACTTGGAGTTATTTTTAGAAGTATTTTATAGTCTGTGGAAAGTTACAAATGTACTTACCTGAGAATATATCCCATTCAGTGTGGAACTTATTTTCAAATGAATGGGCATAGAATTGAACTGCCCATGGTAGTAAACTACTACATCTTTAAATGGGATAGTAAACAAAACATGTTTCCTGGAATTCCAATCTGTTTATGTCACCTGATCTAAGAATATTTTTCCTCTTTTGGCAATTTTGTGTTGTAAAGTAAAATATTGAATTAATATTTTTTTAAAAATCTTGAACAATTTAAAAGTGGTTTGTCTATGTATATTTTATTATCATGTTGTTTCTTTAAAAGGAAGAACAGCACGCCAACACATCTGCAAATTATGATGTGGAGCTGCTTCATCACAAGGAAGCACATGTAGATTTTTTGAAAAGTGGTAAGTAGGACAGATGGTACAGAATAGCCATGTCTGATGTGTAATTGAAAAGAAAGCATCTTAATTCTATAACTCTGGATTTGGGGATTTTTTGTGTACCTTGAAACAATAAAAATACTTTTTAATATTCTCCCAACTGTAACTGCTCAGGGTTTCTTACATGATCAAAGAGAATCTGCTGTTTCTGATTTGCATTTCCACTAATTATACTTGTGATGGGGTGGAACTGGGAGAAGGACATCTCCTGAGCATCTCAAAGCTTGGGCAGGTTCATACAGAGGCATGTAATTCACCCCAGTTAACAGTCTGGCTGAAGCTTTTTAAACCAAATATAATTTCCAAACACTCTTTAGAGCAGTGGTTCTCAACCTGGGGTCCCCAGATATTTTTTGCCTTCAACTCCCAGAAATCCTAACAACTGGTAAACTGGCTGGGATTTTAAAATTTTATATAATCTGAAATCATCTTTATTACTTTAGTTCTAGGATACTGAACTGCCATTATTTCCACAGTACTTTAAATATTATCATAAGCATAATCCTGAATGATTCAAGTGATTAAGAATAATTGTAAGATAGCAGAGTAACATAGGTTGAAGAAAGAACGACTGCCAGCAACCCAGTTGCTTCTTTTTTTCATCAGGACAATTTCATACATTTAGGGGGAAAAGACAACAGTGGAAGAGAAAAATTGCTACAATAACCATGCTGTTCATTGTGTGGAAAAAATTGAAATTAATTTTAAAAATGAGCAAAGTGCTATAGCTCAGATGTTGAGGGGAAAACTTCATGTATACTTCAAAGAATAGTCAAAATGCCTGGGAATCACAACTAGAACATTAGAAGCAAACGACATTATGAAATATGAGAAAGGCAAAACATTAAGCTTGACAAAAGGGAGTCAGTTGTTTTATTAATCACGGTATCTGTGTATTGTTCATAGAGATTTTGTGAAACAACTTCAGTTCAAACAGAGTTTTCTACATATTATGATTTTATAGTCAAACTAACTACCTTGAGTGTAGTGGGAGAGGGTAGGGTTTCTCCAGTAGCTTCCTGAAGCATGGTGTAGTAGAATCTACCTTTAGACGACAAGGCCGAAGCCTGCATGACAGTAGCTGTCATCTTGGAAGGCAGTCAGAGACAGGAGGAGGAGTCAAGCTGACTCCTGATTGGGTATAGCAATTGGGGGAGGAGTCGGTTGAGAGAGGGAAATAAGCTGTCAGCTCTTGACAGAGGGGGAGAAGTGTCTTGACACCAGACACAGAAGGGTGAAATCTTAAGATAGGAAGTTACAGTAGGGATCTGACAGGGAAAGAAAGTTTTAAGTGAGCCTTTAGAATAGGGAATAAGCAGACAGACAAGGGCTAAGGTTACTGTATTGTGAAGATCAGTAACAGAAAGACTTGTCTGATTATACTGAGGAAAAGTATATGAGAGCTTATTAGCCCTGTGGGGGAAGACAGACAGGAGTCCTCCAAGTGTTACTGTGTCTAAAGATAGAGCAGTGTGTTGAAGGAATCTCACAGTTGATTAAAGCTTTACTGTCAGTGGAACTACTTGTTTAAGAAACTAAGTCTCTACACCTGAATTACGCTTCTGTACCCCTCATGCTATGAGGTGATATTTGTTCCAAGTTCAATAAACTCTTTCTTAGTTCACTGTTAACTGGTGTATGCCTCAGTCTATCCATTTCCTCAGAACTCACTCTGTCAAACCATTTTATAGTCCAGTCAGCCAGTGAAGAAGCCATAGAAGAATCAAGAGCTCAAACACACCTTACCTAAAACACATTCACACCTTTGGTTCCTCAGGCCAATAGAAGCTGAGGTGGTGGCAGTTATATCTACCAAAGAACATCGGTCATTTATAATATTTTATTCTCCCTTGCCTTGAGGGGCAGAGGTGGGATTGATTGTTTGTCCCCCCTGCCCCAGATATCCTTTAATTTCGCTATACATGGCTCCACATAGATCAAAAATCTGTATTGTGGGAATGCATAATACGATCTCTCAAATAGTGATGAAGAGCATTATTTGAAATGGGGAATGTTTCTTAAAATTCTCTTTGTTTCTACAGCTTTATATAATCACACTGTTTTTTTGTAACAGGAATAGTAATGTATGATAATAATTAGTACTTTTATATATTAATTTATATAACTTTTATATGTATCAATTATTTTATATGTTTTATGTCTTAACACTGTGTTGCAGGTGATAATCACATGGCTGGTAGTAGTAAAGACAGCACCTTTAAAGAAACTGTAACTTTAAAATGGTGTACACCAAGAACCAACAGTGTTGGTAGGTGTGTCCTTTTATTTTGGAGATGTTTTGATGTTGTACATAATGTTAACGATAGTATTTCTTCCTTTGTTTTTCCTTTCCTGGTATAATATTGCAGGCAACTGAATGTGTATAGTATATATGTATTTCAGATTTAATAGTCTGATCATACTGTTTCATGATGTGGGACCCCTTCTGTTAGGCATGTGTGAACTCTTAATTAAAACCTGGTATTCTCTGAGAATTTCCAAATTATTGACTATATATAATGATTAATTTTGAGGTGAATGGATACCTGGCTGTTCACCCCAGTGTTGTTGGACTAGTGATATTATGGTATGGCCCATATCTTTGTATGGCAGGTCTTTATTTTAATTATTTGCATGATTAAAATGTGTAAAAGTATTTAAATTGTTTTAGGTTATTCTGAAGTTAATTTGTTGATAATATCCCTCCCTGAGGCATCTACATATAGGGTACGCTCAAAAGTATTTTTATTAATAAATTGGTATGAAAACAATAAGTACAAATAAGGAGCATTGTCAAGCCATTGTCTGAGTGATGCTCAAGAACACAGAAAAAGTGAAATACATAACACTTGCATGCTGTGTATGCAGCTCCCTGTTAGCATAGAGGTAATGGGCATATTCTTTGTGTCTTCTGGTTTGCACATATACATACGTTCATGGGTAATATGCTTTTCTGTAGTGGCTAAAATCTTTACCGACTATGTAGATAATTTAGTTTTTAGCTGTACTATGCAAATAGTGTGTTTCCTGTCTCATGTTCACACCTATTTCCATTCTTCTTTTTCTTCAGAACTGCACTATTGCACTGGAGCTTACAGAATATCCCCCGTAGATGTGAATAGTCGACCTTCCTCTTGCCTTACTAATTTTCTTCTTAATGGTAAATATTTTGGCTTGATTCTCAAAAACATGTGTATTTTAATTGTTGAGAACTTGGACTTAAACCAGATGCTTGAGACTGGGTGACTAACAGTGTATTCTTAATTCTTGGGGCCTCCAGAGAAGATGCAGGAGGAAGTAAGTGGCAGCATTTACCCCTTTCCTTGACAAATAGTATGACCAGGGTTGCTATAAAGTATAGAGCTGGGCCACTTACTTCTGCCTGGTCAACAGCGAAGTAATCTTTACTTGTCTAGTACTGAAAGAAATAATATACTGATTTTCATTCCTGACATTAAAGGGCTGTTCATATTTACTAATAATGGCTTATAGAATATTTTGTTTGCTTTTAGTTAAAACACTTGCGTCTGATTAATTGTCAAGTGACTAAGTAACGTGTAGACTTAGAAAGACCAGTATCTACTAATTGCAGTGATGCAAAAGTCTCTAAACACATAGAAGTTCAATGTATACATACAGATACAAATATCAGTAAAACATAGGATTGTTACATTCACATTAAACAGAAATAATTTATTATTTTCTCAAAAGATTAAAAAAATTCTCTGCACGTGAGTGGAAATAGTTCTTGTGTCTTTTCTACAGATGAGTAGACTCCAAATCCTTGCACGGTAAATGTCCTATTTTCTTTATTACACAAGAATGGACTCCAACATTCACTCACAACCGGTTTCGACTCTCAGGAGTCTTCATCAGGTAGTTGGGTCTATAAACTATACATGTTATGTGTCAACTGGAAACATCAAGCTACTTATTTTTTAAAAAAAGCTCAATATTTGAGGCAAGTGGTCTATTAACAGTGCTCTTGAAAAGTGGATCCTTAAGGGAACATATATAGTGGCTGAAGGTAGTCCTATATAGTTGCATGGAACATATAACATACATAACAAAGATATATAATATGCATAACAAAAATGATATAATAATACTCACAAGAAGTTCTTGTTACCCAGCATACTCTGCAAAGGCATTTTATTCTGTAGCGAGTATGGAATTGAAAGAACTCAACCCATTGTTAATATAGCAAGCCCATTGGTCAGGTGGTTGTCATGTTGTTAGCAATTCTGAATACATTTGAGGAAATACCTCCACTGTTATATAAATTAGTGTTGTTTAACCCTTTCAGATATTCTGTTTGTAAAGATCCAGAAAGATTCCCATTGTAAAAACTTAGTTTGAAAATCCGTGTCCTTGGATGCTATGACCACCTCTAAAACCTGTACTCGAAATGATTCAGAGCTATGGTCCAAATCTGCAAAATGCTTATACAGAATATAATCAGTGGAGTGTTTCCTGATCTTGCTTTTGTGTACTGTGATCGTGAGTTTGACTTCCCTGCTTGTTTGGCCAATGTATATAAGTGAGCAGGGACATGTAATGGCATATATCACCCCTTCAGTGGAGCAGGTAGCAAAGTTATTGACTTTGTATTGAGATTTAGTGTGGTAGTTCTAAAAGAACTTGGTTTGTACGAACTGTGGGCATATCAGATTGGGTTTAATGATGACATGTTTGGGATCTATATCCAAATGAATCAAAATACCCCTGATGTTTTGTATTCTATAGGCAATGAGTCTCTCACAACCTGGTATATTTCTCACCAAATTCCAATATTTTTTTTTACTGTTTTTATTTTGTGTTTGGATAGGTTAGTCAGAGTGAGAGGCCATACTAGTCTGTTATCATTGGGTTTGATCTTATCCTCTTGAGACTGGAAACTTTGGTTCTAGCCTTATAAATCAAATGTTCTGGATAGTCCTTTTTTTTCTAAACTGGCTTTTCAGTATTTCCATGTTATGCTCGAAGTCCTGTGGTAAGGTGCAGTTACGTTTGATTCTTAATATCTGTGTGTATGGTAAATTGTTTTTAAGGGTATACTATAGTAATTTTTTCATCTTTTGAGAAAAGAACAAATTATTACCGTTTAACGTGAATGTAACAATCCTATGTTTTACTGACATTTGCATTTGTATGTATACATTGAACTTGTATGTGTTAGGATACTTTTGCATCACTGCAATTAGTGGATACTGGTCTTTCTAGTTCCAAGGGAACCCATTTTCCTTTTTAGTTTTGCTCAAGCCTAACATGTAGAATTGTCATGCTGGGTAACTAATGAAGCCATTATCTCTTTGAATAGGTCGTTCTGTGTTGTTGGAACAACCTCGGAAATCAGGCTCTAAAGTAATTAGTCATATGCTCAGCAGTCATGGAGGGGAGATTTTTCTGCACGTTTTAAGCAGTTCTCGGTCCATTCTGGAAGATCCTCCTTCAATTAGTGAAGGATGTGGTGGTAGAGTCACAGACTACAGGATTACAGTAAGGTTCTCATATGTGTGAGATGACTGTATGTTGTGAAAAGATTTCCCGATTTCATTTTAGCTGTAGGATTGCTAAATGGCACAGTTCAGAGTATTTATGCTAGTGTCATAGAGCACACTTATAGTAAAGGGGCAACTAAAACACGAGCTGTGTACTGAGGAAAACTCAAGGAAAAGCAGCACCCCCCAATAGTGATAAATGGAGTAGTGCAAACTTTGAAATCAGTCTTCTTAGTTTTGTTCAATCTGATAATGGATAAAAATTAATATCACCCACAGTAAGCTATGCAATGTTAGTTTTTTAACCCAGTTAGGCCTGTCCAGGTCAATGAGACTAAACATTGCCTCAGACCCAAAATCAAGATTTTAAACAGTATTTCATGTATGAATTACCCTAGTGGAATATTCTTTGGTTTCATTTAAAAAGCAGCATGCCAGTCTTATAGAAAGTAAATATGTTACTGTTTTCAGAGTTTGAAAACTTAATGTGTGAATGAATATCCCATTTTTGTAATACTTATGTGATTTGATGGTTGGATGTTGAACACAGTGAAAATCTACTTAAACTATATTGAGCATATTAGAAATGTGGCAGTCAGAAAAATGCTAGAAATATATTAAAAATGTTATTTTGGAAAAGTCTGATTGTCTTATTTGGCTGTTTAGGATTTTGGTGAATTTATGAGGGAAAACAGACTTACGCCTTTTCTAGACCCTCGATACAAGAGTGATGAAAGTGTTGAGGTTCCTTTGGAACGAGCCAAAGATCAGTTGGAGAGACATACTCGTTACTGGCCAATGATTATCTCACAAACTACCATATTCAACATGCAGGCGGTAGGTCAATCCAAACTGGTTTTGGGTGCCAGCCTTGTTTTATTATTGGAAATGGGCAAACCTAATTTCAGTGCAGTTTCCTTTCAAATAAATATAATTGGGGCCCATGTAATGCCCATGTTTCAGTGACGTTGTTCTGGTGTTAGAATTGCACCCAATAGAACTTGAAAAAAATGGCATACCTTGAACCTTGTGGTTCCCCCTGATCATATTGACATCACTTTCTCCCCATTTTCTGTTTTAGTTCCACTTCAGTTAACTTCAGTATTAGAGAAAGTGAATTTGGATGACTGTCTTATTATAAGTAAGAGCAGTAATCATAACATTAAAGTTCTATGTATTTGATTTCTGATTACGTATTTTAGCATGTGAAGCCTTGTGAAACAGATAAGAAATTTCAACAAAATTTAACACAGTTGAACACTTCCAAAACTAATTTATAAGGACAAACAGAGAACACTATCTAACATTATTTTTGTTCCTGGATTATAAATGTCATATCCTAATTGGTCTAACATAAAAACATAGGAAAAGTTTATTAAACTGCAAAAACTTTGTTTTTTCGGGACATCCTGTGTGATGAATCTAACCTTTTGCCAGGAAGGCCGAAGCCTGGAGGGTCAGTGGCTGACATGTTGAGAGATAGGCAGGAGAGCTAAGAGGCAAGAGGGAGGAGTCAGCCGGCTCCTGATTGGCTAGAGCAGTCAGGGGAGGAGTTAGGTTTTAGAGGGGAAAAAGGCTGTGTCTTTTGACAAGCGAGGAGAAGAGCTTTAAACATCGTAGAGTGAAGAAGTATTTTAGGAAGAGGGAGCTGAGAGGAATTTAGACAGGGAGAACTTTTGAAGTGAGCCTTGGGATTAGAGCATAAGATAGGCATAGGTTCCTGAAACACTGTACATAGAAGGGTCAGTGTAGGAAAGCCTGGTTTGCTCTGTGAGGCAGTCAGTGGACTGTTCTCAGGGACACACTGTGTCAGTGTAGTGAACAGTGTGAAGCAAGGAACTCACAAGAAACAAAAGTTAAAGTCTTGAGAGAAGACTGTTTGTCTAAACCAGCTAAGCCTCTGAAACGCAATAAGCTTTTGTACCACTCTTACGAAGAGTTGATTTGTTCACCAAGTTTTCAAATAAACCTGTTTATAATTTCATCTTTAAACTGGTGTCTGCCTCGGTCTGTCACAATCCTTAGATAACAGCTAGCCTAAAGACAACTTAAGTTCAGTCCAGTCAGCAAGAGAAGCAGTTGTTATAGAAGAACCAAAGGCTTAGACAAACTTTACCTATTTCACATTCACACTTATGTTTTCCTCAGACATATAATTGAGGTGGTGGCGGCGAATCTACCTAATACATCGGTCAATAACTACATCACAGTTGGTCACTTAATAATAATAATACTGAGGTGGGATAAGAGAGTCTTTCCCCCTCGTCATAGTCGTGTATCTTTGTCAAAGTAGTGTCCAGCTGAACGTTAATACTTCACACTGGTGACCAGAGGTGGGATTTGTTGTCCCCCCTGCCCAAGTGAACGTTGATCTTTATTATATCCTGCAACCTATTTTGCTCTAGTTTTTCAATGAATATCTCACAGAGTTTCAGACAATTCAACATAGTTTGTGGCAGGCCCAAAAACAAAGTTGCTGGAGTATAATAACTACTTTTAAATTACTTACAGTTAAACAGGAATAACAACTGTTAAACCAGGAACATATTTTTTTCAATTTTTGTTGTCAAATTCATGAAAAATGTCCCTGTTCTCTCCCCCCCCCCCCCTTTTCCCTTTCAGGTAGTGCCATTAGCTAGTGTTATTGTAAAAGAAGCACTCTCAGATGAAGATGTGCTAAACTGTCAGAAAACAGTTTACAATTTGGTAGACATGGAGAGGAAAAATGATCCATTGCCAATATCAACTGTAGGGACAAGAGGAAAAGGGCCTAAAAGGTAAAATGCTATTTAATATATTTAATAGTAGCTGTATTTCTCATGTCCCTTTTGGCCCTTCCTCCAAAAATTATTTCAATTGCCATGGCATTGATGCAAAGTAACATGTGCTTTAGAGGCTCTAAAATTATAATAATTTACTTTTAAAAGATGCATTAGTCAAATTGTTCCATTTTTATACTATACTTTCTCCAGCTCCGAATAAGCTGTGAACATAGACTTAAGGTGATTTACAGACCTTATCAATTTCTGAATATGTGTACATATGAATGAGCTCATTTATTCTCTTTTACAGAGATGAACAGTACAGGATTATGTGGAATGAACTGGAGACTCTTGTTAGAGCACACATAGCCAATTCGGACAAACACCAACGAGTCTTAGAGTGTCTTCTGGCTTGCAGAAGCAAACCTCCTGAAGAAGAGGAACGAAAGAAACGAGGAAGGAAAAGAGAAGAGAAGGAGGACAAGTCAGAGAAAGCAGGAAAAGACTATGAATCAGAAAAATCCTGGCAAGAATCAGAAAGGTTGTTAGTACTGATAGAATTTCTATGGCTTGTGTTTATATAAATAGCATGAATCAAAAGTCCAGTTCGCTCCCGCTTATTGAAAGGGGAAGATGTAAGCTTGAGTCTTGGCTTCTTATGAGACAGTTCTAGAATAAAGTCTGGAATAAGAAATCTCCAAACAATGTTATCTTCAAGAAGTGTCATCAGATGAGGTGTCCACATTACCTCGTCTCCTATTTTACTTGGGATTCACACAAGTAACTAGAACCAAGAAGTATTTGTGGAATAGATATTCTGTGATTTTTTTTTTTTTTGGTAAGCAAAATGTGCTAAAACTAATGTGGTAAACTAAATGTATGGGCACTAAACATCTCAACTTTTTTTAAAAAGTAGTTTTGCTGTCATCAAAACAGCACAATGTTCTTTAAATAGTATTTATTTATTTGCATCCTTTCTCCCAGATTTAGGACACAAGATACAGTGGAACCTCTACTTAAGAGTGTCCCAACTTATGAGTGTTTCTCGGCCCTGGTTTGCTTTGACATAAGAGCAGCATTTTGAGTTAAGAGCTAGTGCAAAAGAGAGCACAAACATGAAAGTACAGGGCTTTGGGGCTTCAAGGGAGCAGCTTCATGCCTTGTGCTCTTGTCTGCTTTGAAGAACTTTAGGTTAGTTGATTTTGTGTGGTTTTTATTCCTGGTGTATTTCGCTTCATGGTGAGAGCAAGAGAGGGAGGGAAGCTGTAAAACTACAGCAGAACAGCGAAAAACGAACAGTCACAGGTACACATGTTCCTTCATCATGGAATGACCCTTGTAATTGCCCATCAGAATTTTTTTCCTTCAGTTGCTTGAGCACTCTCATAAAAATAAGTCACTTTTACATCAGACTTAGGTGCACGCGGGGCATGCTGTTTGGCCTCAGTATGTACATTACATGTCTCTTTACATCAGTTTTGTATTTCAAAATCTGTAGTCAGTTGAGCAGCTTGACTCTTGTAGCCTGTGGTTTTCAAACTTGCAAACTTTGCTACAGAATTAACTCTGAACCGTCCATAATAATAATGTGCTGTAAAAGCAATTCTTTCACTTTTCATAACTCTGCAATCATCCTGATCAATAATGATCTGGCACCCCTTATCTTTCAGCTTTGATACAGAAATTAGGTTGCATCTCATTTCTGCACAATAATTCACATCACTCAGACTGACACTTGTCTTTGAATCCATACATGCAAAAATAATTATTTCAGATTCTTAATATTTGAGAGAATAATTTCCTATTCCATTGACACTTGACTCACATTCTGAAAAATGGTCTTTATTGGCAAATAAATGTCCATTTGCTTCAGTATCCTTATTATAGGATAAGTTGAAGTATGTAAAGCAAATCTCTCTAATTCCTCTTTTGCAAACTTTGCAAACTTTGAGGATTAGCGTCTCTACAATTCCATTGTGCCAAATGGAACATCTGTCTTCCCCCTCTCAAATTGGCTTGCCTCTGATTTAGATGGCTTGGCCCAGAGGAATTTGCACTGCTTTTAGGCATAAAATCTCTGTGCTTGCTAGGAGAATAGCTTTTGCCCTTTTCAAGCCAACAATTTTTCCTCTGAGGATGCTTGCCATAGATGCAGGTGAAACGTCAGGAGAGAATGCCTCTAGAACATGGCCATATAACCCGAAGAAACCTACAACAAGCCAGTGATTCCGGCCATGAAAGCCTTCAACAATACACACTGAATTCTTTTCTGTGCATTTTCCTCCTGCTTTTGGGACCATATTTTGAATCTCTAGATAATACTCTAGATATTATCACCTTTATTACAACTTAAAAAACTGAACTTCTTTTCTTTTTTCTCTAAAGGCTAAAAAGCTTGCTAGATCGTGAAAAGGAAGAACTGGCAGAAGCAGAAGTAATAAAGGATTCACCCGATTCTCCTGAACCACCCAACAAAAAGCCCCTCATTACAATGGATGAAATACCAACCATTGAAAAAAACAAAGGTAACAAAATGTAACTTGGGTAAAACATTATCCTAAAAACTTATATGAGGTAATTTCATCACATGACTAGTTATGTGGTCTTCAGGATGTACCATTTTTACTATATTTAGAAAGTTAGATTAACTTGTGCAGTAAATAAAAAGTAGTTCTGTTTATTCAGAAGGAGGTCACACTCTTCTCAATAAGGCTTAGGCTCAGGTATGTGTGTGGAACCATAACCTTAGGAACTTGCTTGTTGAGAAAAGAAGGAATTATTTTTCTCATCCCAACACACTGTTGTATTTCTTTTGTCTCAACCCTAAATTGTGCTGAGAGAGATTCCAATTTTGCATTGAAGAATTCAGTCGCTCTAAAATGTTTTCTTGTCTTGCTACATCATTGAGAATGCTGCATATATTTGATCTACTGTCAAGACAAATTGAAGTAAAAGTCTGATCAGAAAAGATGCCATGTTTCTATAGTATCTTTAGTATTTTTAACATCAATGCCTATTATTATCTATAGTATCTTTAACATCAATACCTATTATTTTGTACAACTAATACTAAATTAAGAAAGAAGAATGCAAAAGAATGAGTGCGGTTAGATCCTGTTTACTTAGCTATCTTTCTTAGGTCCAGTATCTCTGCTGTCCTTATGGAGCAACAGAATCAACACTGCAAACTCGAGGAAACATCAAGAATTTATTGGTCGTTTGAACTCTGTCAATAATAGGGCTGAATTGTATCAACATCTCAAAGAGGAGAATGGGTTTGTATTTCCAAATCTCAGTTGCTCTTACAAGGTCAATGGGGTCTCTGAATGTCATTTCATAAATATATCAAAAGCATAACTGCATTAAGTAAATAATAGATGTTTTTATTTATTTATTTACTTACTTATTTACTTATATATTGCTGTTCTCAGCCCGAAGGCGACTCACAGCGGTTCACAACCAACAAAAACAGCAGAAATTCAATGCCAGATATAAAACAGTTAACAATCCCGCGCAGCACACAATTAATAAACACTTATTACAATAACTAATCACTATCATCTCATCCACAAAAACATAATCCAGACTCGTCAACCATTTTCCATTTCTATGTTTATTACCAATTATTGCACTAATTATTCAAACGCCTGCTCAAATGTTTTTGTCCTGAAATCTTTAATCTTTAGGAGCCACCAAAAATTAGTAAGGCCTTAATCATACAGCACCTCTATTTAGACACTTGCCTGTTCACATAAGTCTAAATAAATGTTGGAGGTGTGGGTACAAAATGGTACCCAATCCTAGAGTCTTATGTGTGTGGTGATTGCATATCTGGCTGTACATTCCAGCAGGCAAACACTCAAATATGAACAGGATGAAAGAAGGGAATGGAATGGTCTCCTTCTATTTATCTTGATCTTAAAGACAGGATTTATATAGATACTATGCTTGAAGACAATCAATTAAGAAACAAATTCAACTTCTCCCTCTTAAACTGCCATTTCTAGAGTTTATATTTATGCCCAAAACTCCTGTGAGAATATTCACACAGTCAATGGTTTTGGCAGGTACTGATTTACTTGATAAGTGAAACCACATGGAGACTTCCTATGTCTTGTTTTAGCAATGCTATCTAAGTTTTAGGGATGACTAGGATTCATTTCATTAATCCAGGAATGATTAATAAAATTAATTGTAGTCATTCCTAATACGCAGTTATCCTGATACCACGCTAAGGATCCCAACATTTAGTAGAATGACTTGGTTGGAGAAAAAATGTTTGATAGTGGAAAGTACAGTTACTTCTTTAAGTGGTTTTATTTGTTGTGTCAGGGCAACCAGTCAATTATATTACATTTCTAACAGAACAAAGAAACAAACAGTCAAAATACAAAATTTGTGAGTTTGGTAGTTGATTAAATGTCCTTTGACCAGTAACTGGCCACTTGGAGTGCTTCTGGTCTTGCTGCAAGAAGGTCCTCCATGGTGCATGTGGCTGGGCTCAGGTTGCATTGCAGCAGGTGGTCAGTGGTTTGCTCCTCTCCACACTCGCATGTCAGGGATTCCACTTTGTAGCCCCATTTCTGAAGGTTGGCTCTGCATCTCGTGGTGCCAGAGCGCAGTCTGTGCAGTGCCTTCCAAGTCGCCAGTCCTCTGTGTGCCCAGGGGGAGTCTCTCATTTGGTATCAGCCATTGGTTGAGGTTCTGGGTTTGAGCCTGCCACTTTTGGACTCTCGCTTGCTGAGGTGTTCCAGCGAGTGACTCTGTAGATCTTAGAAAACTATTTCTTGATTTAAGTCATTGACGTGCTGGCTGATACCCAAACAAGGGATGAGCTGGAGATGTCTCTGCCTTGGTCCTTTCACTATTGGCTGCTACTTCCCGGCGGATGTCAGGTGGTGCAATACCGGCTAAGCAGTGTAATTTCTCCAGTGGTGTAGGGCGCAGACACCCTGTGATAATGCGGCATGTCTCATTAAGAGCCACATCCACTGTTTTAGTGTGGTGAGATGTGTTCCACACTGGGCATGCATACTCAGCAGCAGAGTAGCATAGCACAAGGGCAGATGTCTTCACTGTGTCTGGTTGTGATCCCCAGGTTGTGCCAGTCAGCTTTCGTATGATATTGTTTCTAGCACCCACTTTTTGCTTGATGTTCAGGCAGTGCTTCTTGTAGGTAAGAGCATGGTCCAGAGTGACTCCCAGGTATTTGGGTGCGCTGCAGTGCTCTAGTAGGATTCCTTCCCAGGTGATCTTCAGAGCTCCGGATGCTTCTCTGTTCTTGAGATGAAAGGCACATGTCTGTGTTTTAGATGGGTTGGGGTTCAGCTGGTTTTCCCTGTAATAGGCAGTAAGAGCAGCTAGAGCTTCGGAAAGCTTCTGTTCTACCATCCTTTAAGTGGTGGAAATACAAGATAATTACATTTCCAAGAAAGGTAAGAAGTGGGAATCACATCTGTTTTGTAATGTGTAATTTAAAGAGCTTTTAAGAGACCTTCTGACATGAATTTCTAAAACATTCCATTCTCTCTTAAGCAATCTCTAGTGCCATAAGTATGATTGAATGGCATACATCTCACCAAGGATGGATAGGGAGGTCACACTGCTTTGCCACACAAGTCAGTTTTTAAGATACTAAGAGTTTTCACTACCCAACATATACAGGTTGAATTTTTTAGTTCACCTGTGATTAATGCAGTGGGTTAAATCTTATTTATCAACCTTCTATTTCCTTGGCTGGCCAATTAAACAATTTGTGCTACAAATGGATTAGAACTACAAATATTACTTTCACCAATTGTAGGAAACAATGAGCCATTTTTCATGGAAATATTGTTCCAGATGTAAACAGAAAAGTCTAGATGGTTAGCAGAATTTTCAATAGTTTGGTCAAACTGCATGTAAGTTGAACTTTATGAAGCTTTTCTCTCCCGCCTCCTTTCTGTTTTTCAGAATGGAAACAACAGAAAATGGGAAAGCTGGCCGGCAATGAATATTGTATCAAATAACTGATTTGCAAATTGCATAAATTTCTCTATGCTTAATTTGATAATTGTATCAAATTGTACAGTTTTGTTGCTTCTATTGATTTTTACATTTTACTAATTTTAGTCTTTTTCTATGAAAATGCAAAATCTGAATGCTGCGTTGGACATGTAAATCATTTTGCCTGCATCCCTTTTTGAAACTATGATTGAATAAAGCAATGTGTTTATTTCCAAATAGTAGTGTCTTTATATGATAAGCAAAAGTGCCTTTGCTTCCTGTTGGGAAAATGGTATTTTCTACAAGGTGAGTTATTGTAGTTGTTGTCATATTTAGAGATACTTTAATTAGAACACTTTCTTTAACAGAGCAATACATAAAATTCCATAATGGAAGCCAGGGGCCTTGGATTCAATCATAAAACTCATTGGTTGTAGCCTTGAGCAAAAATTGGCTTTAGAGATGTGCAGAGAGAGTTTAACTCTTTATATTGATGGGTAAATTCTTCCATATTTGTACCTAACAGCCTGAGTTAGGCAGTCATTCTTGCTACCACTATATGCCCTATACAGGCCTCCAAACAATCATTCTTGCGTATATATATTTATCATGTCAGGGACAACCAGATGATTGTATTACATTTCTAACAGAGCAAAACCAAACAAACAGACACAAAACAAAATTTGCAAGCTTGGTAGTTGATTAAATGTCCTTTGACCAGTATCTGGCCACTTGGAGTGCCTCTGGTGTTGCCGCAAGAAGGTCCTCCATTGTGCATGTGGCAGGGATCAGGTTGCATTGCAGCAAGTGGTCAGTGGTTTGCTTTTCTCCACACTCGCATGTCATGGATTCCACTTTGTAGCCCCATTTCGTAAGTTTGGATCTGTATCTCATGGTGCCAGAGCGCAGTCTATTCAGCGCCTTCCAAGTCGCCCAGTCTTCTGTGTGCCTAGGGGGGAGTCTCTCATTTGGTATCAGACATTGGTTGAGGTTCTGAGTTTGAGCCTGCCACTTTTGGACTCTCACTTGCTGAGGGGTTCCAGCGAGTGTCTCTGTAAATCTTAGAAAAGTATTTCTAGATTTAAGTTGTTGACATGCTGGCTGATACCCAAACAAGGGATGAGCTGGGGATGTCAGGTGGTGCATTGCTGACTAAACAGTGTAATTTCTCCAGTGGTGTAGGGCGCAGACACCCCGTGATATCTTGCATGATATCATGAGAAACTTCTCTCTCAGCTGGGTTGTACATAGCAAGCAGCATTCATTGGACCAAGTCACAGAATAGACTATTGCACAAGTGAATAGTGTGGTATTCACTCCTGTGTTCAACTGCATATTTCAAAGACAACCCGGTGTTGTTGTTTTTTTTATTGTAAAATTGTTGTAGATCACTTTTGTGCGACCCTGTTCACACAAATATTTCTCCATTTGATCTCTTGGGAGAACATACTGTATAGAGAAGGTCTTAAAAAGATTACTTAAAGGGTTGAAATCTGAGACCTTGGATATTTCTGCAAGAAATGGGAAAAGAGATCTTAAAAACTCTGTATTAGAAGTCATTTTTGAGATGGAGTTTACTGCCAAGTCAGCTGCCACTGCAGAAGCAATTGTAGAAGCAGTTGCAGTAGGTTGATACCACCCTATATTTGCGTTACTGTCACTGTGATGTGGGTTAAAAAGCTACTCAGACAATATTCTGTGATTCGTGGTGATACATAGATGCCTCAGGTGGTGCATGCCAATTATTAGTCCTAGCTGTCAGCACAATTTAGTTTTGAAATATGGAAGTAGAGGGAAACTGTTGTTTTAAATTATTTTTAAGGAGCCAAACATTTATATTTTTTTCAGTTTTTTAATCCATGAATTATCAGAACTGACCCCATGTTGTTTCAACTGCATTTCTTGCTAATTGTTTAAAGTACTTTATCCAGCCAAAATTGCTGCTTTGGCTCCTTCCTATTGAGATTAGGCACTAATCCCTCTTCTGGGATTTGAAAGCAAATTTGATTCTTTGGCAAGCAGCTATTGTAAAATACTAAACTATAAGCTGTTTTTTAGACATACAATGTGGCACTTTTTAGAGAGTATATGGAAAAGGAACAAAAATGTGATCATATTTAATACAGTTCAACAGTAAGTATACAAGTTTAACCAATATTACAGTTTTAATGTAACGCAAGCTAATACATTAGAATTATAGATTTGGAAGAGTCTACAAGGACCATCCAGTCCAAGCTTCCTATTTTATTTATTTATTTATTTATTTATTTCATTCACTTATACCCCGCCCTTCTCACCCCTAGGGGGACTCAGGGCGGCTTACATAAAGGGCACAATTAGATGCCCAAATCACACAACAAGTAATCCAAAAAATATAAAATTCAGCAGTTAAGTTAAAAACAACAATACATAATAAAACATAATCCTAAAAACAATCTCATGTCAGAGTCCATATGTCAGAGTCCATACATCCGTTCTATTCCATTTGTCCTTGTCTGTCACCGGTCCTTGATTTAATTATCAGAGTGACCAAAGGCTTGGTCCCACATCCAGGCTTGGTCCCACATCCTACCATGCGGGAATACAGAAACTATCATTCAGAAATTGCATAAGAACATAGATAAGTTTAAAATAACACACCAGTCTACGTAACATCATGGAGTGTGTGTTTCACGATAATTACATTTTATAGTTTTGCATTGTTGTACCTTTTACATGGGCATCCTTATGTATCACATAAATAAGATGTATGTTAAAACAGTAGTAAACATTTTAACAGACCATTGCAGGGTACAAAATATCTTCGTTTAAAGAGCCAAATTCCTTCATTAACAGTAGTTAATAATACATGCCAGTTTCTTAATAGCTTTTACAGTATTTATTCTTGTAGTTTACTTGTGTTTCATAACTTTGCTTGTTTTATCATGACATAAACTAAACATTGAGCGTATATGGAGATAAGTAATACATTTTGAGAGACATCCAGTAATTATTTAAATAGATATTTGTATCATATTATGAGACATAGTGTGCTGTCTTCACTACATTAAAATATCCCAATATTTATAGAATCATAGAATCAAAGAGTTGGAAAGAGACCTCATGGGCCATCCAGTCCAACCCCCTGCCAAGAAGCATGAATATTGCATTCAAAGCACCCCTGACAGATGGCCATCCAGCCTCTGTTTAAAAGCTTCCAAAGAAGGAGCCTCCACCACACTCCGGGGCAGAGAGTTCCACTGCTGAACGGCTCTCACAGTCAGGAAGTTCTTCCTCATGTTCAGATGGAATCTCCTTTCTTGTAGTTTGAAGCCATTGTTCCTTGTCTCCAGGGAAGCAGAAAACAAGCTTGCTCCCTCCTCCCTGTGGCTTTCTCTCACATATTTATACATGGCTATCATATCTCCTCTCAGCCTTCTCTTCTTCAGGCTAAACATGCCCAGCTCCTTAAGCCGCTCCTCATAGGGATTTGAAGGAGTATATGTATTATACTTCAAATGTTTAGCGAAGTCAGTTGACAATTATTTTAGCTCTTACATAGAAAGTAATATGTTTAAAGTCTTTTGAATATTAATGACGATATTCATGAAACTTAAAATTATAATTCATACTCCAATGTACTTTGGATCTGTGGCTATTGTAGCACTACAAAAGGCCAAGAATGATCGAGTCATACACAAATACTGCCCAACTTGTGCTTTTAACAACAATATCCAGAAACCAATAGTTTTAAGGCTTTCATATCATGAAGCTAAGGATTGTCACTTGCTAAGTTACACAGATGCTATGCTTCATAGAAAGCAAGGTAGTAAAATTGCTATCTTAATTTACTTCCAAAAACATGAAGCATGGAAAAATTACAGCTGGCAACCAGCCCTTTAACAAGACCTTTACTGATTAGTTTAGTAGTAGTAGTAGTTTATTCAATGCTTTGACCATAGGTCTTTCACATACAAGGCAAGGCAGATAAATAAATAAACAAACACCAAATTATTAAATACAATATAAAATACACAATAAAATCCTATAAATAGTTAAAATGCTACATATATCGATGGCAAGATGCACCTTTAAAATACTACATAATGTATAGACTCATACCTGCGTAATTAAAAACCAAGTAAAAGCAAATCGATACAGCATTATTAAAACTACATAAACAGCCACTATTAGTTGAGAGCATCCCCAGCACAGTCAACTGCAATATCAGATATTAGTTTTGCCCGGATTTTCTGTGCTGCCAGGGCAAAGAGAGACACCTTATGAGTAATCACAGGGTTAGTGTCAGCCAAGAGATAGAAAATCTTTTCTGACACAGTGTTGGTCTGAAGGAGGTGAAGAATAAACCCCAGGATTTTGGTTCTTGGTTCAGAATACAAAGGGCAGAAAAGCAAATAGTAAGGCAGATCCTCCGTTTCCGGGGCCCTGCAAACACATAAACAAAGAGCCAGAGGGTTGCCCGTTATCTGCCATCAATCACTGCTGTGGGCATACTTTGAAAACGAAAGGCTGTGAAGGCTTGTCTAAGTTTTGGAAATGTGAGCCTAGTCAGGTAGATAGCCCTATCATGGTCAAGTTTGTACAGTCTAAACCAGTGGGAGAATTTGGAGTTGTTAATGGCCTGCCTATCATGGTGGGCACAATTATTAAAAATATATTCATGGAGCTTCTCCCTTGAGTTCAAGAAAGAAGGCTTATCAGACAGTGTAGGGTGAAATTCCAGCAACTTCTGGTATCTAGCATTCCAGACTTTGCATTTTGCTAACTGTTCAAAACATCCCTTGGGGAGAACCCTAACTGAGGAGTCTTTTACATTTCTTCAATAATTAAATAGGGTAAAATGAACACGTGATCTAATGGAGGGGAGACCAACCTCTGCCTGGACCAAGGCTCCCGGGGTGCCCGGTGGGAGTCTCAGTAGTTTCTTAAGAAATGTATTCTGGAGAGCCTCCAGTTTTGCTGTCTGAGACTCATCCCATCCCCAGACAGCAGCACCATACAAAATCTGGGCTATAACTTTACTCTGAAATATTTTAAGGGCTGGGACAACTAGATGACCCCCTGCAGTGTTGTAGAATCTGCTTTAGTGTGTTCTATATGGGGTTTCCAGGATAGTCTTTCCGTGAAATGGATTCCAAGGTACTTAAATTCCTGACATTGTTCTATTTGGTGACCCCTGATGGAACATCTGTGTTGAGAGTGTCTTCTTCAAAACACCATTACCTTTGTTTTACTAT